TGCTGGAGGGGGCGGCGCGCAGCCTCGCGGGCGCGCGCTAGAGGCAAGAACCGGGTCCCGTCTCTGCATTCCTTCTCCACTCCCTTAATTCTGCATCCCGTCGTCGAAGGCCGGGGACAGGGATGTACCAAGTTCCAGGCCCCGTGGGATCCTTCCCTCCTCTGGCCCTGCTTGACGCCCTGTTTACCTGCCCCTGGTTGTCCGGGGGGAGGGGAGGGAGGTTCGCTCCCCACCGCCCACCTCCGCCCCTCTGCGGACACTCAGGGCTGCGCAGGGCCGGCGGGCAGGCGGGACACTGAAGGGCAGCAAGAGAGAGGTGCGCCCGGAGCGGTGCGAGCTGGGAGAGACTGAAATAACGGGGTGAGGGGGCACCCCCTCCAGATGGGGCGTGTCGACACATTCCTTCCTACGGGAGAGGTGGGAGGCTAGAAGGGGATGTCGTGGGGGAGAAGAGAGAACTGCTTGAAGGGGCAGGGCACAACCCAGTCCCCAGATGCCAGCCCACCCACCCCCGCGGGGGTGCGGCCCTGGAGGCGGAGTTAGCTGCCAGGGCCTAGCGGCACCTCCCTCTCCACTCCCGGGGAGAGAGGATGACAGATTCAATTAAAGTGCCCTAGCCAGCGACAGGACCGTCTCGCTGGAGTTGTGGCTGGGGATTCCTGGCACCCAGCTCTTCTGCCCCCTGTCCACCAGACACCACCAGAGCACAGCCACCCAACAGCAGGTCTTCCTCTGGCATGCCCAGCTTTGGGCAGCATTCCAGGGGCTCTCCCTGCCACCCAGCTCAGGCATTAGGTAAGAGGTGGCTTCTTTTCACCTGTGGTCTCCCAGCAACCTTTGTATAGGGCTGAGGCTAGTCCTGTCCGCCGAGGAAACTGAGGCACCTGCAGGAATAGCTCTGGAGCTGGTTTACTCCCTGCTGGAGTGGGGTGTGCAGGTGCAGCAGGGAAGGACAGCTTCAGAGTGGGACCGAGAACATGGGTGAGGCTCAGGACAGAGGCCCCGGTGTGGCAGGCCCTGCTCCAGGCCTGGCACGGTGCAGCTGGCAGCCCCCTCCCCTCCGGGGAGGAAAGGTAGTCTGTGGGGTTTGGGATAGAGAGGCAAGTCTGGGGTGGCGCTGGGAGCCAGGCCTGGTCTAACCCGTTCTCCTGCTCCCAGTGCCCCAGGCCCAGACTCCTGCCCACCTGAGTGCCAGGGCCAGGGAGGGGCCTGAGTGACCCATCACTCCCATGGGAACCGAGTGGGGCTGGTGGCGTTCCTGATGACTCAAGGCTTTACCCGTCCTTACTGGGGTGCCCAACACCAGCTCTCACCTGTCTGCCTCCCTGCCAGGCTTGGAAGGGAGTGCTTGGGGAGGGGGAGGCAGATGAAGCCAAGGAGGTAGGGTAAGGTAGAGAAGGACCCTCCTGGCCCCACCGCACGCAGAGGCCTTTCCCTAATGGATCTAATTACTGTTTGTGGAACCGGGTGTGCCTGGTGACATAGGGAGCCAGTCTCTCCCCTTAGGGAGTTCCCAGGGACTAGAGACCCTCGCGGTTTGACATCCAGCCAAGTACCCCATGCCTTCCTCACGTCCACCATACTCCTCTCACCGCCAAGGTGTGCATACTAACCCCAAGGAATCGGAGGCAACCCCTGCCCACGGCACATTAGCTTTGGGGTTTCTTCTCTCTGATCCGCTTCCTCTCCCCCGACAGGGAGTTTCTGCCTCCATGCTGAGGTGCCTCCATTCCCACAGCCCTCGGTGCCACCCTGAGGGTGTTAAGACCAGCACTTTGATGATGACTAGCGAGGCAGGTGCGGATTAGGAGGGACCCAGCATCTGCTTTGCTCTCCTAAAGAGGGATCAGGGAAGTAAGAGACACAGCCATCTTAGCCGGGCGCCGTGCCCGCACCCTGCCTAGCACCATTAAAGGGAGCAGTGGCAGAGGGAGGTGCATAGTGAGACAGAAGTTTGGGCTGTTGGCACGCTGCCCTGGAGCCCTGGTGCCGAGCCCCTTAGCTCCCTGGTCTGTCGGGTCGGGTTATGGGGAACCTAATTATGGCTCGCGTTGGAGGTCAGTGGTACTGTCGTGTGGGGAGGGCAGGGAGAGCGCCAGGTGGCTGTGGTCAGCCAGCACTGGCACGCGGGTCCAGGTACATGCCGCCTGTGAGTGGGCGGTGGACCTCTGTGTGTGTGCGCCGTGGAACTTAGGCATGTGTATGCATGAAGCCGCCGTACATGCGTGTGTGAGGGCAGGTCCTGTCCGACTGGCCGTGGGGGTGGACTGGCAGCAGCCGGGAAGCATGCTGGGAGAAGCGATGGAGGGTGTGGATCCCTTAGAAGGGACCCCTCCCACTCGCACCCTTTGCTTCCAACCCTCCTATCCCTCCTCCCGGCTGGTGAATTATGGGGGATGGACGGAGGAAATCCGGGCCTGGGTCTGGGAGTCGCTGAGGCCTGCGCCGTTTCTGTGGCAACCAAAGCGTACGTCCCCTTCTCCCCCCCCCCCCCCCCCCCCCCCGCCTCTTCCTTCGGCGGCGGGCCGGGCTTCCCTGCGCCTTTGCTGCCCTCTAGTGGCCACCGGGAGAAACACAGGCCGAGGAGGCGAGGGCGCGGAAGGATAGTGCGGGCACCGGCGGCACTAGGGCCCCGGGGACGGAGAGGGGGCTGAGGGAGAGGAAGGCGGAGGAAAAGTAGTCGGAGGCTCCGGGGACCCTGGGGAAGGTCTGCGGAGCGGTGAGGTGGAAAGCGCATTGGCTTTGGGGTTTCTTCTCTCTGACCCGCTTCCTCTCCCCCGACAGGCTGCGGCGAGAGGGCTACACCGTGCAGGTGAACGTCAACGACTACTTGGACATCTACTGCCCGCACTACAACGGCTCGGGGGTGGGCCCGGGGGCGGGCCCGGGGCCCGGGGGCGGGGCGGAGCAGTACGTGCTGTACATGGTGAGCCGGAGCGGCTAACAGCCCCGCCAAG